TACCTAAATGTTCATATGTATATACATACATATATGCATATTCTCGTACATATGTATATGTATTTGTTTCCTCATGTGGTATGAAAAGATGGCGTTAAATCTATGTACGAGTACGCGTATGTGCGAATTTGATTATGCAGTAAACTTGGATAATTTTATGTATATAATAAGGACTAATGGTCCTTTTTTGTTAAATGGAGGGCGTTTGACAACTTCGACGCTGTTTTGGATTATATATGTATTTACATATATATGTATGATCAACCAGTAAAAATGGTTCGAAGATTCAATTTTTTCAAAGATGCTTAGGAAAATGAATAAATGAGTAGGAATATTTTTGACATCTGAAAATATTTTCCTCACTTAGTTCGGGGTCTCAATTGATGTTATCTTTGAATTTAGCATTACGTTTTATGTGTATAGTTTTGAAAGAATTTGGGAGAATGTACTTGTCGAAGAAGGTTATTCTGCTAAGTGCAAACGTTGGTTCAGAATCAAAGAAAAATACAGTTTTCTGTAATGCACACACATTTTCAATATATCCATATATATTTTTCTTTCCATGAAATGATTTTGTTAGCGAATAGACTTTGGACCTTCGAAGTTATTATTATTTTCAAATTCTATTATAATGTTATTCCTAAATATATCAATTATTGGTAATGAAACGCTCTTTTCAGAGTCATGTTTAAGCTCATAACAAAGCTCCTTTTTTACAGCAAGGTTAAACGTGGTTTTTTAAGTTATTTCCTAATACCGTCACAGTTATAATTTGTTTATTCTTCCCCTATTTGCAGCTCACATTAATATTCCCTCTTAAAATTTTCTTTTGTTTTTTTTTCATTTTTACTTTATTTAAAATTATTTTATTTAGTTCATTGTTATTTTATTATATACATATACATCTTTACTATATTTTATATTACATCATTTTGAATTTACTTTATTTTTTTTTTTATATCATCTCATTTTACTTTATTTTGTATTTACTTTGTTTCACTTTATTTTATTTTGTTTTTTTTCATTTAGTTTCCTTATTTATTTTTTCATTTGATTCTATTTTATATTACTTTAATTTCGGCTTATTTTGTTTTTTCATATTTAATTTGACTTCATTTAATTTTATCTTATATAATTTTATACAATTTAATTTGATTTTATGTCATTAAATTTCACTTTATCTTAGTCAATTTAATTTATTTTATTCAATTTAATTTTGTTTTATTTTATTTGATATTTGTTGTTTTTTTTATTTAATATTATTTTATTTACAATTTTATAATTAATTTTATATTGTTTTTATTCTATTTATTTTTTTTATGCTATTTTATTAGTTCATATTATTTTATTTTATTATCCTATTTTTTGTTTTATTTTATTTTCCTTCATTTTATATCTTTTTATTTTATCTCTGTTATTTCATTTTAATTTATTTTATTTTATGATTTTTAATGCTATATATTATTTCATTTGCTTTTTGTTGTTTTGTTTTATCTTATATTATTTTATTTTATATTATTACTCAATTTTATTTTATTTCACATGTGGACTGATTGTTTTATTTTTTTTATTTTTTTTTTATTCCATTTTGTCTTATTTTATTTTCCTTTATTTCATATTACTTTATTTTATTTTTATTATTCGTTATTTAATTTTATTTTATGTTATTTAATTTCATTTTTTTATTTTAATTTATCTTATTTTTTTATATATATTTCATATTATTTTATTTAGTATTATTTTATTTTATTTCCTTTAATTTGATTTTATTTTGTTTTATTTTATTTAGTTTCCATTTAGTTTTTTCATTTGATTCTATTTTATATTGTTTTACGTTACTTTATTTTGACTTATTTTATTTTAGTTCCTTTTTTATTTTAATTTGCCTTGTTTTGTTTTATATAATTTCATTTCATATTATTTTATTTTATTTAACATTATTTTATGCTATTTTGTTTTTTTCACTTTATATTATTTTATTTCATTAAATTTTATTTTAATTTTATTTAATTTTTTATTTTTTATTTGTTTTTATTTTATTTACATTTCTTTTATTTTAGTTTTTTTTTGATATTACTTTATTTATTTTATTTTATTTTATTTGATTTCATTTTATTTTCATTTTTATTTATATAATATTATTTGATCTTATTTGTTTCATTTTATTTTATTTTGTTGTTGTTGTTTATTATATAATTTATTATTATTCTTTCATTCATTTTCATTTTATATTGTTTGGTTTATTTTATTTTATTTCATTTTAGTCCAGATTATTTTTTTAAATTTTATTCTATATTATTTTTATTTTAGTAATCTTTTAATAGATATTATTCTAAGCTTTCTAAAGTTGTGCTTCAATTGCCTTGAAGGTCATTCACATTGTCACAGATTTTAACCTAAAAAATACTAGATTAATAAAAAATTTTTTGACTATTACAGAGATTCAAAAATCGCAGTTAGAATTTTTTTATTTTATTTCCAATGTGCTCATCATGTCCTTAACTCAAGAAATTAAAAAAGCAAGCTGCTCACAATGAAAATTATGATTAAAGTTTTTATTTTAGAAATATTAATTCAATGAGAACTTGTATACCTACATACCAATCAATGTATGTATATATGATACAAATTTTTATGTACACACATTTCTGAAACCATTCACTGCTATTAAACCTTGAACAAGTGGAATTTATTTAAATATACATATATATGTAAGGACCTAATCGCCCTTTCTTTCATTTAAAATACAAACGCACACCAATACTCAATACTCAATGACGACTCCATGTGCACAGAGTTATTGCAAAATTTTAGCCGTTAAAAATATTTCGAAATTCGGATTATGTTATTGTTATATGTGAAAATGTTTCAAACTGGGACCAGCATATTTTCCTGAAATCGACAAAAGGATAATAGAAGATAACAAAATGCAGAATCATAACATTTCCGCAAAGCCAAGACAAAGGCATCATTTATTACGATCTCCATCAGCATTCAGGAATACAAAAAAAATAGTGCAAAGTTCATCGCTGCAAACGAAATTTATGCAAATTCGAAAATTTTCTCACGACTCTGGGTCGAAGACACTTCCTTACGACCTGTCATACGAGTATTAATGCCTCAAAAATAGAAGAGAATGTGAAATTTTCCTTTTTAATGAGGCAAGCGAATTTCATATGCAAAAAACATAAACCAAACAAAAAGAAAATCCTGACGGAAATGCACGTAGACATGTGTGTTTGTGTGTGCGTTTAATGCCATCCTCGCCTTAAGTATATCTGCACGCATTACATGGCAGCGATGCGCAAAGTTGCCGTCAAAGCGACAGATCGAGAAAATTTTTTCTATCAAATTTACATAATTTTCCCTTTTACACTGCCAACCCTTCGCACAGATCACATTTTCGCTTGTAAATAAGAGCATGTGCATGTGTGTATACGAGTGCGCATGTTTGCAAAAGGGTTAATGTGCGAAGCTCATTTGCATATGATCATATGAAAATCTTTCGGAAAAAAAAAGTTGCACATGCATATTAATGTACGTACATATGCATGGCATTCTCAGCATCTCATTCGCACTCTCACTCTCACCCTCTCACACAGTCTCCGGTTTACGTGAATTGGCAAATGCTAAGAAAGTGAAAGTGAAAGAGGTGACACGCAGTATGCGAAGAAGATCTGCGAGAACTTCCTGTTGAGGAGGATACTATGCTCTGCAAGAGCGTCGCCGCAATCGCTGTCGGGGGTAATAAGTTCGAACGAGCATGTTGTTTTTGTATATAAATTGCATTCTCTCGCAAATTTCAAATCTGATCGGAGACTTTTACCATCGGTTCCCAACGAAGAACTCTCCAAATACTCCGTTTCTCCACACAAAACTTCAACCCTTCATATCATACATACATACATTCCAAAAATTGCCTCTACATTACACTTCCAGTTAACCCTTATGTGATCGAGGTAAAAGTATATTTGTGTGCGCTTGAATAAGCATACACGTACATTCAACGGATTACCTATCATTTGCTCACGCAGCAAAGCAAAGATGCTCAGCGGCCAAATGAAAGAAAAAAATTTGCATAGCAATTTTCTTACCCAGCTTCTGACCCCTACTGGCGCTGCCTTACGGCCTTTTACGACCCAACACTGTCATTGTTGTAATCACGCTGCGGTCTTCAACGCCTGATAATATGCAAATTTTTTTCGCTGCAATTTTCTTATGTAAATTAGTTGCTGATGCTCACTATGTGAGACAGTGGAAAATCTTTCTCACGCTTTTTTCCTGACACCAACACACAAACATGGGTACAACACAAAAAAAAACGATCGCTGAGTTTCTTAAATTATAATTTATTCCATTTACATACAAACCTATGTATTTGTGTATATAGTTATTTCAGTAAGTTGGCTTGGTTTTGTTTACTCATTTCTTACTCCGTTGACGATCCAACTGTGCAACAGCTGTGCCTCCAATAAATCTCGATCGATTTTTAATCATTTGCATTGGCTACCAATTTTCCCTACAGCTTGCCATTGAAAATTGATTATTGTTAAGAATTAAGTGATTTCTATTATAATTATTCCCTATGATTGAAATGCAAATTATTTCATTCGTCTTCAAATGAGAGGGATAACCTTTTGCAGCCAATGATTTGTAACGTATTTTTGCAAATTCCAATGCCGGTCCACTTTATTTTACAGCACTTGGAAGTAGAAAAATTGTATAATCATTTGTGAATACTCGTACGTATACATAAATCCTTAACGGAAAGAGATACCATTTGTTAGGCGATCAGGTTCTATAATTTGAAACCCTTTAATATATATCTTACCTGCCAGCAAACTGGTGTGTTTAACCATTTTTCTCATTCGCTCTGAATTTGATACTCAGTAAGCACCGTAGCCGTACAGCATAAGTATATAAAACTTTATATAACGGTAAATTGAAGTATTTTTGGGCACCTTGCATGAGGAACAATTGAATAACTTATTAGGAATTGAGTCATACAGCCCAATTCTAAATATTTTCGCGGAAATTCTCCAGCGAGGATTTAGAAATCCCCGAAGAGAAGATCCGTCTATTCTAAATGCACAGGGACAATGTTTTTTTGGGAGTGAATTTTTTCTCTTTCGAAATCAACTGCTTAGTATTATTGTGTATTTTGGACATTTGATAATTTTGTTATTGAAAATCAAAATTAAATTAGAATTATGGCTACTGAAGTATCTGTAACTGCATGTGGGAGAATGGCAACAAATTCTTCTTCAACTTAGATAAATTCCAGACCAAGGCAAATATCCACATCGTTTGGCAAGGTCTACTGCTCCTGCAATTCAATCTTCCTCACGGGCAACCGTTCCACCGACTCTTTCATCCTTCGAGAGGGGGAAATTTACGCTATGCATTAGGGTCACCTGTTGCCCTGTTGGGTTTTCTGGAATTCAACATACATCTAAAAATAAAATACGTACTAAAAAAATTGGCTTTTACTGGAAAAAAGAAATTTTACCTTCTTGCATTCCACAACATTTTTTACAGGCGGTTCCGTGGTATTTAATTTGTTATTCATCTATTTCCAAAATTGCTTTGACTCCTCCTCATAATCCATTAAAAATCCTCAGGCTATAGCCGGTTGAGTTTCCATCAGCTCTACTAGCAACTGCAACTGTACTTTACTCGCTGTTTGTGACCTAAAGAAATAATTAATACGACTATTTATAAATAAATAACTTAATTTTTTTTTTATAAATATTGAAATAATCCTTTTTTTTAAATTGGTGTTATGAACTTTATCCACTGTGAGTTTTTCGTCATTTTCGAAATTTGTTTAAAATGCCTGGAAAGGGTAAGAGAGAAAAAATCCGCAAAACTTTTTTTATATCTGATTGGAGGAGCGGGAAAAGTGAGAAATCTCACGGAGAATTTTCATTGAGAAAAGGGCTGACAGCGTAATCAAATCACAGTAACTAAATCACACTAAACAATATTTAGACAGTCGCAGAAAAATATTTAATATATTTTTTATGATTTCCAGATTTGAAAGAACAAATTATCAAAATACGACGCTATACGGTTTCTCTACTACAGAGCTAGAGCCCACTGCGGTCGGACCTACATCATTTTATAAAAAAAAAGTTTGTCTGCGCACGTCGCCAACACACATACATATTTAGGTAAGGACGATGGCTTATGGGTTATTATTTTTATATTATATACTGGAAATTTAATTGCTTCATTTTTACTTCGGATAATTTCTTGGATTTCAGCTTAAGATGAGCTTTTTAAGCAGGAATGCTTACGGCAAATAGACATTGATAATTTAAATAATTTATCTTTTTACAGAAATACATGTGTTCTACAATAATATAACATCATAACGAACATACATTAATAAGTACAACACTAAAGTCCAAATAGCCATTATTGGCTTTCTATAATATTAAAATCATAACAGCAGTGCAAAACAAGTTTAAAAAATGGTAAAGCTCAGTTGAATATCCAAAGCTTGGTTTACACGTAACGATGTATAAAAACATTATAAGTAAGGTGAATTTGTTTGTAAAATTAAAAATCCATATTTATTATTCTACATCGAGGCTCTTATTCCAACGCCTTCTCAATCGACTCAAAATGGTGTCCTCGAAGTGGTTTATCTTTGGGGGAGCCAGAAGTCACACGGTGCTAACTCCGGCAAAAACGGTGGTTGGGGAACAATATTAGTGGATTTTTTAGCGAAATGGTCACGAAGAATGAGTGCTTCATGTAACGGTGCATTATCGTGTTGCAAAAACCACGAAGGCACTTTTAGTCGTTTAGTAAATTCAAGCGTAAATAAAATACCAATGATGGCATTGACATGAAATTTGGCGTAGATGTCAATAACAGTGCTACCAACATTAAAAAAAAATCAACCCGCTCAAACTAAAAATTCACCTTACTTTTCGCTCACGGTAGTAATACACAGAAATGTCGATAAAGCCGTCTAAGTTGTTGGACGGGTTCTCTAATTTTTATTAAAACTTTTAATATACCTTCTTTTAATATAACTTTTTTCCATAAGATTTGATTTCACCATTTTCGGGCCTGCTCTCTAACTTCTACCGAAATCGTGCGCAAGTTTGAAGAATATTGCCATTGAACTTTATAGATATTGCTTCGAGTAATTTTATTTTTTGCAAGAAAGTCGGCAGAGGGTTTAATAAGTCCCCCCATTGATATTTCGTCGACCCACGTGAATGTAGACTCTGACGATGAACAATTTTTAGGGTTCAGAGATACACTCGGAGGAGTTGACATTCCCTGCTGAGCGGAAACCGCAAGTGCCTAACAAAAAAAGTATGTGTGTTGTATTCATTGTCGTATATGTATCAGGTGTACAACTTTGCTTCCGCCGTTTTCCGTAGGTGACTGTACCGGCTGAGGCTGGTTGAAATACATAGATGATAATGCCTTTAAAGTGAGTGTGGATAGTTCCCAACGCATTGTCATCGCCGTTTCAGTGACAGTTGTTCTTGTTTTCGTATTATTCACGCTCGAAAATGTACGTTTATGTGCCTGATTCTCGTCATTTGCGGGAAGTTTTACTTTTCTGTTATAATTCGAAAAAAAATACAGCTGAAGCGCATCGAATGCTTTCAAAAACTTACGGTGATGCTGCTCTGAGTGAAAGAACGTGTCGGGAGTAGTTTCAACGTTTTAAAAATGGTGATTTCGATGTCGAAGACAAACATGGTGGTGGAAGAGAAAAAACTTTTAAAGATGAACAACTAGAAGCATTGATTTACTACGAGCTTTTAAAATTGGGTGAAACCATCACAGGAGATCGCTACCGAACGCAACTGATGCGCCTTAGTCGCGCGCTAAAAGAAATGCGGCCACAATATCATGAGCGACATGACAAAGTCATCCTCCAACACGACAATGCTCGGCCTCACGTCGCAAAAGTGGTCAAAAATGGGAAACGCTAAAATGGGAAGTCTTACCCCACCCGCCGTATTCCCCAAATGTCGCCCCTTCTGATTTCCACCTATTCCGTGCGACGGCACACTGCCTGGCAGATCAACATTTTCAATCCTTCGAAGATTTCAAAAAATGGATTGCTTCATGGATAGCGGCAAAAGAGAACTCCTTTTTTCGAGCCGGGATCCGAAAATTGCCGGAAAGATGGGAGAAAGTTGTCGCTAGCGAAGGACAATACTTTGAACAATATATCTGTTAGAACTTTTTCGCAATGAAGCTTTTAATTTTGGAAAAAAAAAATGGCGGAAGCAAAGTTGTACACCTGATAGTAGCGACAAAACTCATTTGATTGTTGGACAGCTAAAACATTTATATTATACAATAACAATAATCTTCAAGAATTTGTTTTATTAATTGCATAAAAATCGTTTAAATATATAAATATATATATATATTTACCCCTCAATAAAAGCAAAAGTAAATAAGCTGGAAGAAACCACACTGGGCACTTGAGAATTATAGATATCTAATAAATAAATATCTTTAAATATAAGATATTTTCGAATAAATTTAACTAAAATTCAATTTCTTACTCGAAAAATTGCTTCCAACGTATTTTATTTACATGATGAAATAATATAAAGGTGAAGTAAGTAAACAATTGTCTCTCTTCCACACGCTGTCTTAGCAAGAGATGTTGCTTTTATAGAATTATATTGCCATATTTAAATAAAAATCTTAGAAAAATGGGTGATCTTAAAGTTTTTCATCGTTGAAAAGAGTAAAAATCACTACAAACTTTTCAGTTATTGTTAAAATGACGTTCCGTTACAAATTCAATTATATTTGCTTTACATTGTTTTCTTTGAAAAATTAAGTTGTGCCAAAATGTGCAAGAAGTTTTTAATAATATTGTACATTTTATAATATAAACTTACAATAAATATATTTATTCTTACTTCCTAAATGGCCAGTGCCGCGTCTACACGCAAAGGGTAACTTCAAATATTGGATTTATGTGCGTTTTTGAAAAATGTAGATTCGCTAGGAGCTGTGAAATGCTTTAAAATATTTTGCACACATTTAACACATTTACATATGTATGTGGTCCATGTGTAGTAAATATGTGATATATTTTACAATTCACTTTAGAAAAAGTATATAATAAAGACTATTTTTTAAATACATATGTAAATCTTCTAACTTTATTTAAATTGCTTTATTAAAAGGACATATGTAAATCCCATAAAAACTCTTTTATCTTGATACAATGGGCCTTAAGTTAAATTTTAAGAATAAGATAAGCTCTTGCGTTAATAAGGCAAAATAACTCTCAGCTTCCGTTAAACATTGGGTTGAGGTCTTCAATGAGGACTTCTTTACCAAATCAGACTGTTGTATGGAACTTGGTGATGTTTGAGGATTACTTTAAACTGAATTGATAAAAGGGATTACCCCAAGACCCCTTTAATTGTGTTCATGAAAAACCAATGTTTGAGCAAAGATTTTAATAATCATTCCACCAGCTTTGATTCTTCCAATCTTTATTTATGCATCAAGAACTAATTACTGCTATAAATAAAATATTATTCTTCTCCTTTTTCTATGTTATCTATAGCGCTGATGAGCAAATCTGTAGCTGATAAGTGTAAGACGCAAGTGTAACCGCGTCCTTCCGCGATCGGTTTCGGGTTCAAGGTAATCCATACTGACACTGGGCTTTAGTTCTGGCCCGACCAATATCCAAAATTATAGAAAATCAAAATTAAAAAATAACATAATATTTTCTAATTGCGGTCGTGATTCAGCTGGGAATGTTTCTGACATGAAATAAAGGTTTCTTCTACAAATTTGTCAGATGTTTTCGAGGTAGCTTAGAATTAGGTCTAGATCTCTACATTTGTTAGGAAAACATCAAGATGCACATCATAAATATGAGGAGGAGCTCGGCTGAAAAACATTTCAGCAGTTATAAAGCGCCAATCATATAAATACTGCTTGTATAGATACATACATATATATTTTTCAAAAAGTAATTCATTATCTTCAATATTATATATAAGTCCACCTGACATTCCCGATCTTTGTTCTTTTCCTTCCCTTTCTCTTCAAACTCGAAAATGCAACGTTGAGCTAAGGAAGTGTCAAAATCTCTTTCTATTCTACTTTCTTCACCTGTTTATTATTTCATCATGAGGGTTGATAACGTGAGCGGAGAGACATTCAGATTTTTAAAATAAAGTATGTGTGGCAGTTTGATATTGCGTTCGTTCAGGATCCCAGTACCTTCGAAGATAGGATCACTGCACTATCCGCATCCAACTTCCAAATCTTATATGGCTGTGGGGCCAAACCAAGAACCTTATATCTATTGCTTGTAAAAACTTGATCATTTTTCTTTTTTAGCATATCCATAAGGAAATGGTGTCACCGTGCTGAAGATGGCAAATCACCCACTGTTTCTGGCTTCTCTATATCTGCCCTTTGACTCCTCACAGAAGAGCTGAGTAAGGTAACAGCCTGCGAGGAAGAATAAGGAATGTAAATAAATGAAGGAGCAGACCCCAACCCCATCACATAGCATGGGACAGCTCAGACGGCAATGGTAAGTGGCTTAAATTGGCGGAGAAGAAAAGTTTAGGATGTAACATTTTGTTACATTACTGAGGTAAACCTAAAATTGGGATGAGGTCCCTTTAGCGCATTCTCTCTCTGATCATAGACAAATTATCTTCAAAATAAGCATCTACCACTACCAACTTCTTGAGGTTGAGTTCCGAATGGGAGACCGACTCAGATGTAGAAAAACGCAGGCAGCATCAATGGTGCATTTGAATAAGCTGGTCCTCAGTGTGCTTGCATTCGTTTGGCATTCACTCCATTTAGATGTAACGAAGCTAAGGAGATTTCTATCCCGAGCCTTGGAAGAGAGGATTACTCTGTGGCGAAATGCCTTAGACCAATCAGTCCAAAGTTCTTCCCATGAAAAAGTATAGAATAGATCAGTGACGTATTGATTCAAACAACAAATACCCGGAAAACCAGAAATCTGTATCTTTACGAGTAAGAGAAAAAGTTCATCAATCCAACCTACCATTTTGAGAGGTAACATTACACTCGTATTACCCTACAATCCCGCTAGGTATCTCTCTGCATCGACTGCCATGCAACTGTCTGGAATGTGGCCTCGTTTTGCAATACTAACTGCAGTTTTTTTAACATTGGCAGGTGTCCTGCGAAGTAATTGAGGTCTTGATCTCCTCGTACGACAAAAAATTTGGAGAAAAATACAAACTTGTATTTGCCTTCCTTTATTTTGGAACACGCCGGAGTGATATATATGTATGCATATACATACGTGTTAATGTTGATGCAATTTTTCTCACAAACGCAATTGCTTTGAAATTTGTTGGATTTTTTTTTTTTTTTTTTTTTTTTGTTGTAACCAGCTCAAATTTCACCAACCAACAATAATTGAGAACCAAAAAAATTATTTTTGATACTCAAAAATTGCTTCGATTTTTTATTGTTTTGCCTGTAAATCAGCTCGAATTTCCCCATACAGTTATGCATTTTATTTACAGTCGTAAACAAATGATGTACCACAGATTCGAATGGCATGAAATGGAAACCCTCCAAAGCAAGCGCGAAGCCACGCACGTTCAACTCGCGCCAATGTCGCCAAATAGCAAGCGATTTAGGAAGAGAGACAATACACAAAGAAACAGACGTACGCCACGTGAGGTGTGGTAGGCCAGCAGGACGAAAGCATCAAAAGAGAATCGATAACTTTTTTTTTTGAATTTTTGTGTATTTTTCTATTTGAGCATTTTTTATTATTTTTTTCACTCGTTACTACCCTCTGCTTTGTCCATGCGCTCACTTGCATTCATATATACCTATTGCATGTATGTACATGTGTATACATATACGTACGTGTAGATTTACAAGTAGGTAAATTTGTATGTATAGATTTTAATTCGTTGATCATTTGTGTGTATGTGTTTGCTCTTTCCTCGCAATCTCGTTTGCCTCTGTCACCTTTTGTCGCCTACTCCTTTAATAATTTAAATATTTCTGGTTTAACCACTTTTTGTTCTTTGCATTTTTTCTTGTTGTTGTTATTCTTTTATAGCTGAAAATGTAAAATCTGATTGTCTTTTTTTCAAATTCTTACCATTTTCAAACAAATTTTGTCGCTTTTGTTTCCTTTATTCTTGTCATGACAACTTTTTGTATTGCCTTGTCCACCTTCTTGTGTTTATTGTTGTTGTTGTTATTATTATTATTATTATTGTCTTTTTGTTCATTCCGCATTCAATAAATTGGGAATGCTAATTAAATTCCTGCTGTGTGTGTGGCTACACATAATTCTTCTGTCGTTTGAATTTCGTTTCTTATGGATTTCTTCAACTTGTGACCCACACTTGACCTCTTCTCTTGCCAGCGAATGCAATCCTCGAAAATGCATTGAAATCTTTTGTTGATGCTGGCAAATAAGAAGGCAAATCGAGTTCGGCACCATTGTTTAATACGAGTATACGAAGATATGTATGTGTGTGTGTGTATGTATATACTATCGTCTATGCGTGCACGAATGCATGGTATGTTTGTATGTGGGTATGTGAGTTTGAAATGATTTATTGTTTATTAGCATCATTAAGGTACGTACAATCAATAAAGATTCAACATAAATTTTCAAAATCATTTCTAAGAGAATTGGAGAGAGAGTTATCGTCGTTAGGACTGATCCCAAAGAAATGACTGCTGCTGAAGCTAGCTTAGCTGTAAACGAGCGGAAATTGGTTGCGCCAAGGTTGCAGGCGGATTCTCCTAAGAACGACAGTGGAATGGACTTCAAATTTTAAACAATCGAAAATATTCTGCCAGATACTTAGTCCACAGATCGGTCTAAAACATAAGATCAGTTAATTAATATAAATTTCATGGTGATAATGAAAGCTCGCACCGACCTGTAGTTGTGAACGATTAACCGTATTCAGCCCCATGCGACTTTTTGTTTTCAAAACTCAAGTTAGCACTCCATGGAACCCGTTTCGACTCGATTGAGACCGAAAAAAAAAAATTCGCAGAGGGAAATGTGGTCGACTCCAAACAAACCGGTTGACAGATCGCGCTCATTTTGGACATAGTAACTATGGACAGTGCTACCAAATTAACGGAAAAAAGTGCTGAAAAATATTCGGCGTGAGCATTTTAAATGACAATTTCTAGAAACTTTATGGTCTTAATGTACATATATATGTATATAATATAAAAGGATTTCCAATAAGAAGTTTAATTTCAAATAGCAATATTATTATTTCTCAATACCAAATTTAGTCAAAATGCGATTTCATACGTGTGAAAATATTATATACTCGTATTTCAAGTTAATAACCTTGGAATTTTTTTTACATATCTATGTATTTACTGTATATATTTCAATATCAGAAGCCTCACAATAGGTTTAAAAAACTTCAAAACTAAATTAAAATATAATAGCGCGTTGGTTAACAATGGGCTGCTGGCTCAGAGTTGCTCTTTACAGTAGTAGAATAGTAAGTCCCTTCTTTTCAGGCTTGTTTGACTTGTTGCGGAGGCAAATACCGAAGAGTTCAGATGATTGTGCTGTTTTTTTGTATAACGATTTCAATCTCTTTTTTGATTGTACCTATATTTCGCACTGCATGGATATTTTCATTACGCATGTATCATAGTGCGCTTGTTATTATTCTTAATGTTTTCGACTGGAACCTTTGTATTATATCTAGTTTTTTCCTTCAAGGGTTTACCCCATAACTGCATTCTATACATCCATCTCGGTTTTGTAGTCGCATTATAAATATATAAAGAAGGACTTTGTTTTCAGGGCAAAGCACAGATTTTTTACTGAAAAGCCAATACAAACTGAAAAACTTAAGCTTCAGCTGCATCTTTTTGGCGGAAATATGTCGCTTTCAGGTTAATCGTCAATCCAAGTAAATGCTAAGCTATGTGATTTCGTTAGCTTGACGATAGCGCACATCTTTGGTCTTAATGTAAAAGTTATTTTCATTAACTTCCAATCTTCAACTGTTTAAGATGCTGGTCTAACAATTTTGTGGCTATAATCGGTCATTTAAGTCGACTTAGTATAACGGTATCATCCGCAAAAGTTGATAGGACTACCTTTTCACTTGTAGGAATGTTTGCGAGAACAAAATTTTGAATACTGTTCCAAGAACACCACCTTACGGAACACCAGTCGTAATTGGATACTCTTCTGTTATGTAATCATTTGCTTTTACAGTGTTGGATAAATAGAATTCAAGATATTGTAGAATGTGCTCTAAATGAATCTAAAAAAAATAATTAAATAAAAACACAAATAATTTGTTCCTCTCATTCCACATCTAAATCACTGTGAAATCTCGCTTATACTTCTAGGTGTGAAAATTATGTCATAAGACTGATTCCATAAAAAATGGGTTCCTTTGACAACCGCTTTTGTTCTAGGGAAAAAAAATCACAGGGTAACATATCGAGCGAATTTTTGCAACACGGGGATCCCTTTAGAGGCCAAATACTGGGGCACCCTGGGGACGGTTTGGCACGGCGCGTTTTCGTGAAGAAAGAGGCGATGTCTGCGCGCATCCTCTTGACTCGAAACACCCAGGTACGGCTAAGAGCACTATCAACATGCACTTTTACAAGGACGCAAGGTTATCACATTCGCGACAATATAATCAGTCTGATTACTTAATTGTCACATCTCGTACACATATGAAACTCGCAACTAATGAGCCGAAGTTATATTTGAACATTTTGAAAGCATCTATCACGATTAATCTACTTGAATTCGGTGCCCTTAAATATCTTTTTGCTTCGATTTACACGAATAAAACTAGAAAGCGGACTTGGAACGCCCTATTAAAAACAACGTATTGAAGGCTCAATGTGAAAGATATTTGGAACGTAGCTGTTTGATGTCTGAAAATCTAGCATGTGGATCGACTTACTTTGAATTTCACGAAGTGGATCAGATACTCATCTTATTGAGGCAAATATTTTTATGGTACGATTTTTATTTTATTTCTAATCTTTGTACAAAGACACCCTTTTGTTTAGACTTAGATTAACATATCAGGTGTAAAACTTTGCTTCCGCCGTTTTTTCCAAAATTAAAAGCTTTATTGTGAAAAAGTGCAAAGTATTGTCTTTCGCTAGCGACAACTTTCTTCCATCTTTCCTGGAATTTTCGGATCCCGGCTCGAAAAAAGGAGTCCTCTTTCGACACTATCCATGAAGCAATCCATTTTTCCAATTCTTCGAAGGTTTGAAAATGTTGATCTACCAAGCCGTGTGCCATCGAACGGAATATGGGAAAGTCAGAAGGGGCAACATCTGGGGAATACGGCGGGAGGGGCAAGACTTCCCACTTCAGCGTTTCCAGGTACTTTTTGACCACTTTTGCGACGTGAGGCCGAGCATTGTCGTGTTGGAGGATGACTTTATCATGTCGCTCTTGAAATTGTGGCCGCTTTTCTTTTAGCGAGCGACTAAGGCACATCAGTTGCATTCGGTAGCGATCTCCTGTGATGGTTTCACCCAATTTTAAGAGCTCGTAGTAAATCAATGCTTCTAGTTGTTCATCTTTAAAAGTTTTTTCTCTTCCACCACCATGTTTGTCTTCGACATCGAAATCACCATTTTTAAAACGTTGAGACCACTCCCGACACGTTCTTTTACTCAGAGCAGCATCACCGTAAGTTTCTGAGAGCATTCGATGTGCTTCAGCTGCATTTTTTCGAATTGTAACAGAAAAGTAAAACTTCCCGCAAATGGCGAGAATTAGGCACATAAACAGATATTTTCTAGCGTGAATAATACGAAGACAAGAACAACTGTCACTGAAACGGCGATGGCAATTCGTTAGGCACTGTCCACACTCACTTTAAAGGCATTATTATCTAAGTATTTCAACCAGCCTCGGACGGTATAGCCACCTATCGGAAAACGGCGGAAGCAAAGTTGTACACCTGATACATATGAAATACTTTCTCTCCGGGAAGGGTGTCTCGGGTTGACAAGTTGCCGAAAATTAGTTTGATGATAGTTTGGTGTAGCTGAAAAGGCTGTTTTGAAATTGATATTCATATCGGTTGCATTTTATTTTTATTCATTATTATTCGTCGTAGAACTCATATTCACATTTTCATATATAAATATTTGACTTTGAGTAGCAAAAAAAGCAGCTAATATCTGACTAAATTTAACATGCGCTTCCTCAAGTAGGTAAACAAAAATAACTCAATCGCCGGCTAACATTTTATGCTCTTTTATACAAACATACATATGTATGTACATACAAATACTTATCTAGATCAATGAAAAATTTCGCAATAATTGAAGCTCAATAAGGACTTCTTCTATTGCAAATTGAACGAAATTAATAAAGCCCCTTTGTCTTCTAATGTTAAATAAATAATATTTGTATTAATAAACTTTTCATTAGAAAGGAAGTTAGCTTGTTGTTTAGAAATACAATTGTACATACATATGTATGTACATGCAAATAGCAAATGATTTCACTGCTGCACACGTCATCCACGCAGTACTGACATTGGAAGGAGAGATACAGTTGTGTATAAGTTACATAATCTTAGTTTCCCTTGCAGCACTGCAATGCTTCATTGATATATAATTACTATGAAATCTATGTATATTTATATGTATGCCGTACATTTAATTTTCATCAGGACGAAATTCGCTGTTCCAACATACCAAGCCAATGCACACATACATACATATCTATGAACGTGCGCAGATGAATATTTGTCCTTTGCATTAGCATGAAATTTCACTGAGAAATCTCGAAGAAAACGTACGATTTCAATGAAAAAAATAAATATTTTGAAATCTTGCAGATGTCTGCTTTGGGGGTATATAGTACAAATATAAATAACCAAATAGGACATTCACATTGTAATGCAATGCATATGTACATATGATATGTATATATATACATGCATACATATATTCGTACAATACATACATAATTATACATATATATGAATATTGGTATTACGTTACGTATGTGTGTACGTCCCCTATAATATCATCCTGTCAGCCGAAACATTGTGCAACAGGCGGCCGACCGCCATTTGACTTTACGATTTTTCCTAAAAATCATTAGCTCTCTCTTCGCTCGCTGCCCCTCCTCCACCTACGCTGAGAAAATTTGCTTCTGACAGGCTAAGGAAGCGTGTGCATTCAACTCTTACGTTGAAATTTAAATATTTACATTCATATGTATGTGTGTGTTCACATATGTGTATGTATATGGGTTTGTGTAGCCACGGATCCCGCATTTCTAGTTTTGCGCTCCTGCATGCTCCAAGCCAAGCTATGCTACACATACATACACGTATGTACATGCTTACATTATCAAACAAATTTGTATGTATGTATGTTTGTATGTAGATATGCGCGATTGTTGACTATTTTAAATAATTTGTATGCATTTTTGCCTCTTTTGTGTATCTTTACCAAATCTCTTTCTCTATTGCATGTACGTGTATGCGTGCGTACTCCAGCAATTTGTGCGTTGCTCCAACGTTTGTTGCCTGTTTTGCCTATTTTTGTGCGTGCCGCATTGTTGCACATGCAATGTGACCATGAATTTTCGACTATCCAATTGCGCATTCTTCTTCCTCACATTCTTATTCGACAGTGGCAGCGGCAGGTTAATGACCCCCACGCAGAAATGCATTTCCAGGCATGCCGAAAAGAGTAGCAAAGCGAAATCATCTATGTATGTATATGAATACATATATACATACATACACACATGCATACATCTCTATATGCTCATATGTTGAGAATTCTAATTTTGTAAAATCTGTACAGGAAACTCGATTGGCGAGTTGATTAGGGCGCGTCGTCGCGCGCTGATAGCTACAAACGATTCTTCAAACTGAAATAAATGTTGCAGTTGTGTATTTAGCATACAAATCTACGTCTAGTTGCATTGTATTAATTTTTCCACACATACAAATTGAGTGCACAATTGGATATGTACATATATATTTATGTTCTCGCCCGTTTGGAACCTGAGTGTTCCGATCCTCTTTTCTCGGTCTTTTTTTCAATATTTGGCGTATGATCAAGCCCAACGAGAGGGGGGGATCGGAGACTTTTCCCCCCGGGCCCGTAGATTGCAAGGGGCCCGGTGTTTTCATTAACGTATGTATATAGAATAATTTGCTTCTAGAATATCTATGACGTAACTGACTACAGAAGTACGAAAACTGAATCCTACTGCTGAGACTAGACGGGATGTTGATGGAATTTTAAAATATATTAGCAAATTTGAATGTGTCCTAATGTCATCGATATGGTTCAAGATTCTTACAGCAATCAATGACGTTAGTTTGGTTCTGCAAAAGAAAAAAGCCACAATAGATGTTGAAGTCAAAAATCTCGAAAGTCTCTTAGATAATCTGCAGATCTTACGCAAGCAGTGGAATGCTATCTTAAAAGAATGTCGAACAGTTTCCGAGCATTTAACGACCACCACTTCAACATTCTCAGTGAGTCGTAAAAAGAAACGAGTGGAAGTTACACCCGAAAATTCAGATGAAGATTATACTGATGAAGAAATTGATTTCAAACGTAACACTTTCTTCGTTATCATGGATCAGATCATCGCGGGAATAAGGAACAGATTTGCCTCAATAAGAGCAATCAACAACATGTTTTCATTCTTGTGGTTGTTTCCGAAAATGGAAGTAGAAGAAGTTCAGACTGCTGCGCTACGTTTTGCTGAAAAATACCCTGCTGATATCGTGCGAAATCATTCACTTAAAAACCGTTTATCAAGCTAATTTTGCTGAGAGTAGTAAAACTCATTTGTCTCCATTCGATTTGTTGAATGCTATCCCCACCAAAAATTTGGATACACTGTTTCCAAACATCAAGAATAAAGAACTATCATCGTTTTTGTTCAAGCCAATCTCGAGTCTCAGGACTGGCAACGTTATGTTTGGAATCTCAATTAGCTAGAAAACTTGACTTCGGTATTATCATTGAGGAATTTGCATCAGCTAAAGCAAGGAAGGCATATTTTTGAGGGTTGCTACCTATTAAAATACTATTGTGATGCAAACTTAGGTAATAAAATTGTTTAAACAAAAATTGTTCCAGATTACTCATTCATTTTCATTTTTATTCAAGTCCTATTCTATCTTTATCCCCAACTCGTTGATTTGCAGTGTAAGTACAAATAAACATATTTGTTAGATCATGAAATTAAGGTGTTGGGGGCCCGCATTTGAATTATCCCCGGGCCCCGATTTCCTCTCGACGGCCCTGCGTATGATGAACATCTGTTCAATGGTCTAAAGGTCTTAATGCACACTGCCAAGGTGCAATCAGTTTTTTTACGGTGGACCTTATATGCGATATTATGGAGGCTTATCCCACGATCTCACTTTTTGAGGATTGGACAGAGCACACTTTAGGTTCTAATCGTCGCCCATGCTTTCAACCGACCAAATTTTGCAGAGAAACTTATGCTAATTATCAGTTCTTCACCGCCGTATTTGAAAGCTCGGCCGGTAATCTATCGAGTCCCACCGCTTTGTTGTTTTTAAAGCGGGCGATGGGTATTTGGTTGTCTTCATAGCCGGGTAACGAAATGTCTTTTCCATTGTCTTGGATTTTCAGGTTCACAGGCTGCCATTCAGGAAGCTGGAAAAGTGTTTTCTCTATGGATTCAGTATACTCTGGGCATCCATCACTAGATCACCCCTCTGGGTCCTACAATTCGTAAAATTTTCGAGTACTACCATTATCTTCCAGCTTCCCTATTTCTGCGTACTCATGCATCGCGGTCTCTTGCTTTTATATCGGCGAATTCACCTTGCTGCCTTCTTTAGCTATCCATATCTACCCCATCCCGCACGTGTTGTGGTCGATCGTAAGCTTGCGAGGTAGGTTGTCTGCTTTCTCTCCACCGCAATGCAGCAGTCCTCGTCGTACCAGCTGTTTTTGTAACATTTACAAAATCCAATTGTAGGGAGTTTGAAATTCTGTCTCACAGTTCCCTTATAACGAGTTGCTTATGAGTACTCTCAGAGAGCAGGCGTTAAAGTCGAGTAGAAAGCCACTCGGCAATGTGTTGTGATTGCAACTTTTCTATGTCGAACTTTCCTTGTATTTGATGGCTGGCGTGTATCTTCGCTGCTACAAGATATTAGTTCAAATCGATGTTGGGTCCTCGATCTGTCTTTGAGTTTTCAATCATGGGACAACCAAGTAGCTTGATGTATTTTCTCGTGCTGGAATCTTGTACTACAGACAGCCATATTTCGATCCCCGGTAAAGTCGATTTGCCTCAACCCTTCAGGGGATGTTTCATTGTGGAGGCTGAATTTTCCGACAGGTGTAACAAAGATACCTTCTGCGCCTACCTTGGAATTAAAGTCGCCTAGCACGATTTTCACATAGTGCTCGTAGGTATGCTCTTGGCGCTCATAAAAGGCATCTTTGGCAGGAAGTTCATCCATCGTGGTGAATGCCAGTACTCAACGACGGAGTCTCTCTACCACCACAAATCCGACAACAAATTTGCGCTTCTTTAAATGTCACAAGGACCTACTCGCTTCCCACCCTGGTCTCGTCCATCGCACTTCTTGTACGCTGGGCAGCGCACCTTCCCAATTAAGGGATCGGACATTCAAGGTGCATGCTCTCAAATCATGAACATCAGTTCATTTGCGGTGGTCGTCATCGAAAAACGAGTATCTTACCCGATGCGTTGCATAACTTTTCATTTAAGCAGATTCCTGCGTGGTGGGTGCCAAACACTGCGCACAACTTCGCTAGGTCAGTAAGTTTATATTCTTTGCGAATTCATATAGCGAGCGTCTTGCTTCAAGACTAACGCCCGCCCGCAATCGCATCTCTGATAAACAGACGCTTTATTTAAAAGTCAGCGAACTATTAAACCGAATAGGTTGGAGTAGCTCTTTTAGCTGTAACCTAAAGCTCCACACGGGTTGGTTACCGCATCTTGCACAAGGGTTGCTCACGTGTCCAGGGCCCCGCGACTATAACTGCATAATCAAAAACTGGCTAGTCCACCTCGCCTGGGTGTACGAAAACACTCCGGCCTTTAATGTATTCGATGCTAGTAAAAGCTCAGTAAGTGGATAGTTACCTGGCTTTCCTTGATGTTTCCAATTTTCGCGGGGCAGTTAAAGAAGAAGCCGTAGTTATCAGTCAGAAAGAAAGAGAGGATTACTAAGAAAGTCTATAAGCCCTCCATGGATGACTTAGAGACATTCGGTAAAATTTTATCTTGTACATTGCCTACTGCCATTCAACTGTACATATAACTGTAGCTTTGTATACATATAGATATATTTATATATTATGAAGAATAACGTTTTTATCACAAACAAAGATGACAATTGGTAGCTTGGCTCTAACAGACAACTCGCTTTTGAATGGTGGAATAGAAGTCTGAGCAATTTTCTTGAGAATCTGCGCTAAGATTCTTTGCCTGAAATAAAATAAAAATAAAGAAAAAATCTATGTAAATACTATATGTAAATCCTATTAGTTTAATAATAAATATTAAACACCTTTTAAAAGTATACCATAAACGTCATAACAATAAAAAAAAAACTATTTTTCCAATGAACTTCCAAGCATTACATAATTAATGGGCGGTAATTTATTTATTTTCTTGTATGCAGCTGTTTAGTGGATATAATATTCATCGACAATACCGAGTAATTAAACACCCAACAACTGTCAACCCTTAATGACATTTACTCAATTGTCAAAAGTGTCAAATTGATCAGTAAATATACCGAAAAAAAAATTAAAGCGAGCGCAAAAAATAGCAACCAAGAAGAAAAGGCGCACACTTTTTCCTCCTCTGAAGTTGGTTTTTCACTTCTTTACGACCTACAGTTTTACTATTCTTCACACACACCAACCACTTGTCAAAACAAATGACGCTGTCAAAGTGGCAATTGTCTCCTCTCAGCAAGTTAAAAGTTGTCACAATTCCCTTTTATCTAAATAGTATATGTATGGGTGCACATGCACATGCAGAGCTGCATTTGCTTTGCTGGCAACAATGCTAACAGCATCCAAACATTTATTTAGGTATATACAGGTATGTATGTATGTATGTATGTATGTAGACTCGAAAACAAGTAGCAAAACAAGATGAACAAACAGAAAAACTTAACAAAGCTTCTTTCATGCACTTGAAAAAATAGTTGAAGAAGCTACAGACATACAAACATACATATATATAATACATACCTACATACAAACACATAGCTACCTGTGTCTATTTATGGTGATTCAAAAATAAATGTATGTAAGTATGTAAACCATTTACAATATTCGTTAATTATTTGCCCTATATTTTATGGTATGGAAGACAAATTTTGGGTGGAATTGGATATTAGAGGAGCGAATGTTCTTAATACTAGAAGTCAGTCAATCAGAACTCAGCATCGAGCTTTGTCAAAAAATTTAATTAGAACAAAATTTTAATTATTTTAAAGCGATTTCGGTGATTTGCAGTGTTAATAATTATTTGAATTTCCGTTTGAAGAAAACCAAATTTTTTCTTTTTGACGGATTTTTTACTCATAAACACATATCTTAACAAATCGCTTGTGGCGGGGTCCTATAAACGATCGAAACAGTATAAGTTTTGGTTGAAATATTTCATATATTAATGGACTATAAATCAAATATACTCGTACTTCTGGTACTTAAATACTATATACATCGGACCAAACTATTTCATTCTCATTAAAGATATAAAAATTATGTACATACATATATATGTATACTCGTATAGTCGCTGTGCTGATGTTCTATTCCTAGGTAATTAAAAAAAAAAATTAATTGATGTAAAATATACATAAACGAGGGGATTAACAAAAGTTCGATCAGTTGGTGACTTTTAAATCGTTTTTTGTTAATTCTAAAAATACGAAATCCTTTGCAATTACTTTATTAGTCTTCCTTTCAAATTTTAGAACGTTCGGCTAAAATAGAAACGAGCACACGCAAGATAGCTGGGGATAGATCAGACGAAATTCCACCAAAAATGCAAAAAATTTAGCATAAAAGACGAACCCTTAAAAGGTCAACCAAAATCTTCTACCGATGATTTCACGGTGGCTCTGGTGAAGTCCATAATTGGCACAAGGAATCATTGCTAATAAATTGGAAGTAATCTGCTCGATGGGTACCACGAATATTAAATGAGACCCGAAAAGAGGCTAGAGTGCATTTTGCTCGATTTTCCCTAAACAACTTTTAGCAACTTTAGTATGATCCAGAAACCAAATAGCAGTCCATGGTAGGAATGGTAGCTGTATTTTCACTGGAAAAGGGATTCACGACGCCACTCATTACATCATGGCTATGCCATCCTACATGGCTGAAATAACGAGTAATTTTATTGCGATCTCTGGGATCGAAGAAATACGCACTGCACCATATTTCCCGGATATAGCACCTTCTGATTTCTGATTATTTCCAGTGGAGAGCAAACAGACCGCCTACCTTACAATACTGCGATCGACGACAACGCGTGCTGATTAGGTGAAGTACCGAGAGTAAGTCGAGGCCTCTGCAAATAGAAAGATATGCGACGAAAACGCCTGAGTATTTAGAGCTTGAAACGCTGATCACTGGGCCATGGCTGAAAAAATTCTAAAAAAAAATGCGCAGAATTGCAAAATGTTTCAAAAAGGGATCTTATTAACAAGGATGCAAAGGTGTGACGTGCCGACTGATATCCAGAGTTTATGTCGAACACTTATCCAGCCAAATGCCCAATGAAAGTTGATGGAAAAATCGTCCGAATGCCAGACTATGACGAAATTCGAAAAGCGATTAAGGAAGAAAATGGCAGCAGAAGACGTATTAGATTCTATGCAGAATATGGTCAGACAGAAGTAAGCCCGACTATCGGAATTTAAGTGCGCTCTGCACAAACCAAAGAAAGGGAGATTCAACTTCCTCCAGTCTAGACAAGACATGACGAAATAGCGCATGGTCAAACTGGGACTGCGGTAGCCGAGGTC